GAGAAAGTACTCAGCTCCAGCAGCTCCAAGCTTCAGGGGGCCCACCACGTCCATCACCACCTCATCAAGTAGTGCTTTAGCCGTTGCCTCCGAACTAGAGAACGGGTAACGGGTGAACTTGGCTTGCATGCACGTCGGGCAGCCAAGTACCTCATCGGGCTCCCCCTTCACACGTACGCCAGCAACCATCTCATTCTTCACTAGCTGCTGCAAGATGGGTAGGGCGGCATGCCCCATTCGCCGATGCAAGGTGAGCGAATCACACTCCCCCGTGGCCGAAGTCGGATTGGAGAATGCCGCACTCGCAATAGTGCCCCACATGCTCTCTCCGTAGTCCCCCTCTGATGCTTCCTTGGGGTTCTCCTCACCCTTGTGCTGCTTCTCAGCTGCTGCACCACTCTCCTCATGTTCACCAAACTTGCTGGTCCCTCCAAGATTGCACTTCTTGGAGTCAATCTCCTTAGCGCGACCGTTCGCGCCATCGCCGCTACCAACCACTTCACCCTTGGTGCTGATGCTTGCTGCCACTTGCCTCTCCTTAGGCATGGGGACCACAGGGATCTGCCACATCTCGTTGTAGACATCCCTATCCTCGTGAAGGTCCCAAAGAATCCGCTCGCCAAGCCTCGCGGTGTAGGTCTTAGCTCCCTTCGAGCTCGTGTTCATGCCGGCCTTTTGCAACCGCCGCACGGAAATCAGGTTGGCAGCGAGGTTGGGCACCCAAAGTTCGTTCTTGAGGCCCACCATCTTCCCATCAGCACCCTTGAACATGGCCTTGCCCATGCCTTTCACCTCTGCTCGCTGCCCCAAAGCCGATGTCACATGCTTCATCAGTGACGGCTCAAGTTCGGTGAGCAAGTCCGCACGAGGTGTCATGCTATAGGTAGCGCCGCTATCGATCACCCAATAGTCCAGGGAGTGTAGGGTCACCTTCCCCACAGCTGCTGGCTCCTCAAAGCTTTCATCATTCTCTGGACCAGCCGGTGCTTGCGTGGACACGAAGAAGAATTGGCCCGGAAAGCGATCGTCCCTCGACTAGCTCTCGTTGCCGGCACTCTTCATACTTGCAGCACCACCTCCACGACCGCCACGGCCTCCATGGCCTCTTCCTCTCCCTCCTCCTGCTCCTCTACCCTCTAGGCTTTGAGCAGGAGTCCATCCATCAGGGAGCTTGTAGCAATCGCGCCACATATGTCCGCTCTTGTGACAATAGTGGCACTCGCCGTCGAATCGGTCGCGACCGCGTCCGTAGCTCTTGTTCTCGCTGCCGTATCCGCCACTCCCGCGGCCTCCATTGAAGTTGTTGCTGCCAAATCTGCCTCCCCCTCGTCCTCTGCCCCTTCCACGGCCATACCCTCGACCGATGCTTGCTGCCCCGGCGCCATCCGCACTCGCCAACTCACGGCGGCGGAAGTCCTCTTGAAGGATCGCTCGCTTCACGTCTTCAAGCGAGAGGCGGGGCAAGTCACGATTGAGATTGATGATGAGCGAGGACCATGACTCTGGGAGTAAGGCCAGCAACTTGGTCTTCTTTTGGAGCTCACTGTAGTTCAAATCAGCTCCCTCAAGCCGCGTCAATAAGTCGAAGAATTTATGCACCCCTTCTTCAACCGCTTCGTCTTCTTCAATTCGTAGTGCCGCCATTTGCCGTTCCAACACCACCGCTACCGCCGCTGTTGCAGGAGCATGTACACCCTTGAGAGCAGCCCATGCCTTTGGTCCCTTCTCTGGTTGACGCTGGAATGGCTTGATGTGACGGATTTGGCTGCTCCCCAACGCTTGCCCAAGTAGGAGATAGCCTTGTGCGCTCTTCCGCACCCACGGGCTCTTCTCCGGGTCGTTCTCGGGGCGCTTCTCCGTTCCTTCCATCACCTCCAGCAGGTCATAGTGGTCAAATACATTCTCCATTCTGAAGGACCATTCAACGAAGTTGTCGCCATTGAACTTGTCAAGCCCAAACACCCTAGGCTCATCCCTAGGTGGGCCAAGACTTGGTTGCATGGGCGCCATGGCTGAATCACGGGGTTGGCCTTGAGCTTGGGCTTCTCCACTGCCACCAGCACCTTTGCCACCCCTTTCCTCAGGTCCAGCCATTGTCGAAACTGCTCCAAGGGGCTCTGATACCACTTGTTATAGTCACAATAGGCTTGAATGTGCCTAAATCGAAAGATAGAGTGCACAGTCGGATTTCTGCACAGCGGCTTCAAGTGTTGATAGCGTTCTGCTCACAGCTTCAAATGAACTTCTATAAACTGGATCTGGAGCGTCTTGATGTCGCCTACAATAGGCATTTTGAATCACATGATTTCAGCAAGTATTGAGGACGCAACGTTGGTTTGAACGAACGGTACTATGGCAGTCACTATAGACTTAGAACACAAATTAGGAAGAGTTACGAGTTGGGAATGACTCCTAGCTCCTACAAACCCCAAGAGCCGAGGTACAGTGATGTGGAATAGTGCCACACTGTCCCCAACCACGAAGGGTCTCGAAACTACCCTCCACAAGGGCCTACACCAAGAGAAATGTTACACTACACAAAGTAATGCAACTATTCTCACCATCTTAATGTTTACCCTTTTGGAGAGCTTCGAAATCACTTAAATCTTGAAACCAAGGCTCTGGTTCTTCAAGATAAATTCTTCCTTGAGTTCTTGGAAGTCTGCTGCGCACACCTGCGACACGTCGAACGTTCCACACACGACAAAATAGAAAAACGCACACGACACACAAACGACGACGTGACACGCGACTAGCGATAACTCGCTATTGACTCGACACACACATTCAAAATCATGCCTCGTCATTCACACACTATTATAAGCATGAAATATATATTATCTCATGCCCTCATACCATTCCATGCACACACGCATGCACGCACACGGACAACAAGCCGAATGCAAGCCGTAGGGTTGCACCAACAAGACCTTCCCCCCCCCCCCGGTTCCTCACCCTGGTGCCCCCCCAAGTCGTCCCAGTAGTCCTGTCACCGAATATGCACGGTTGTGCATATAAGGTGCCAGTATCATGGTGGTGTAGTGGAGGTGTAGCTATGTTGTGTTTGCAAATTCGAGGATAGGTAGGTGGGAGCTGGGAAATTGACGCGAAGTTGGTAGGAGAGCACCTTGGGTGAAATCCTTGCAACCAATGAGAACGAACCAACCCAGGCTCGAGCCGCACATTGAGAAATGCACGGTTCGAGCCAAGGTCAGGTAAGTTCACTCTCACACACACCTCTGATGCTTTCTGTTTGTTATCCTTTCGTATAGTGGACTGTTGTTACCTTACCAGAGCAGGCAGGTGGCACACCACTCAGGGAGGACCTTTGAGGTGAGAGTTCTGTCACTTTCATAACAAACAGAAAGGTGCGCGTACAAGCATGGATGTGTACGAGATGCGTCACGGCAGGAATTATGGTCGCCGTGAGGCGGATCGCTCGCGGCGCGAACGCTCACGTGAGCGCGGGCGCTCGCTGGAGAGGTCGCCGCGGCGGCCTGAGCGATCGCCGCGGAGGCCGGCCTTTCGCGCGGATCAGGTCCCTCTCGCGCCAGATCGCCAGGAGGGAGGATCCGCCCGAGAAGGAAGAGGCGGATCTGGATCCGTCACGACGGGGAGTGAGCCGTGGCGGACGGACGGGCGTCACGGAGCGGATGGCGGTCATGGGTACCGCCAGGACACGGGAGCATACCGCTCGCCGGAGGAAGGCTATCGCCGTCGCGAAGAGAGAAGTCGCGGGCGAGGTCTGGAGGAGCTCTTCTCGGGTCGCCAAGGCGATCTTGATGTGGATGGAGAAGACGAGGCCGACTCGGCGAATCGAGTGCGGGAGACGAATCGTGAAGGCGAGACCAAGGGCGATGACGAACCCCAGGAGGAAGGCGCAGGCGAGCAGCGCGAGATGCCCGCTGGAGTTGATGACGACGATCCCGCGCAGGCGGGCGTGGCGGCGGAGCCGAGCACGGCGGAGGCAGAAGGAAAGGACGGTACTCGAGACCTGCCGCGCGACAGAGAGAAAGGTGACGGCGGGGGGCGTGGCAGTGGCGCGCGCTCTCCAGATCCGCGTCAGCAGTGTGACGAGGGACGTGGCGGCGGCGCGCGTTCGCCTGATCCGCGCCTGAATTGTTATAGTCACAATAGGCTTGAATGTGCCTAAAACGAAAGATAGAGAGCACAGACGGATTTCTGCACAGCGGATTCAAACGTTGATAGCGTTCTGCTCACAGCTGCAAATGACTTGATTCAAATTGGATCTGGAGCGTCTTCACGTCGTCTACAATTAGCAATTTAGATTGCACGATTTGATAAAGAACTGACGACACAGCGTCGGTTTGAACGAACGGTACTATGGCAGCCACTATAGTCTTAGAACACAAGATAGGAAGAGTTACGAGTTGGGAATGACTCCCAGCTCCTACAAACCCCAAGAGCCGAGGTACAGTGATGTGGAACAGTGCCACACTGTCCCCAACCACGAAGGGTCTCGAAACTACCCTTCACTAGGGCCTACACCAAGTGAAATGTTACACTACACAAAGTAATGTAACTATCTTCAATATCTTGAGGTGTACCCTTTTTGGCGAGCTTCGAAATCACTTGAGGCTTGACACCAAGGCTCAGGCTCTTCATCACAAACTCATCCTTGAGTTCTTGATGGGTCTGCTGCACACACCTGCGACACGCCGAACGTTCGACACAGGACAAAATAGAAACCGCGCACGACAAAATAGAAACCGCGCGCGAGACACAAACGACCGCGTAACACGCGTCTAGCGATAACTCGCTATTGACTCGACACACACACTCGACATCATGACTCAACATTCACACACAATTATAAGCATGAAATATATATTATCCCATGCCCTCATACCATTCCATACACACACACATTCATGCACACGGACAACAAGCCGAGTGCAAACCGTAGGGTTGCACCAACATGAATCGGGACGGAGGACGCGGCGGCGGTGCGCGCTCGCCAGAGCCTCGGCTGAATCGTGATGGGGGACGCGACGGAGGCACGCGCTCGCCAGATCCACGGATGTATCGGGAGGGGGGGCGTGGCGGCGGTACGCGCTCGCCAGATCGGCGGCAGAATCGTGACGGGGAACGCGGTGGCGGCGCGCGCTCGCCAGATCCACGTCTCCCGCACGAGGACGGGAGGCACGGAAGCGGCTACCGCTCGCCAGGATGGCAGCAGCTGCAGGAAGAAAGGCGCAGAGGCGGCTACCGCTCGCCAGAGCAACGGCGGCACCAGGACAGTGGACGCGGGGGAAGTGTGCGCTCACCAGATCCGCGGAGGTATCACAACTCGAGAAGCGGGGGGGAGCTGCGCTCTCCAGGTCCTCGTTACCCTCGTGATGAGAGACGCGGAGGCGACTACCGCTCGCCTGATCTGCAACGGTATCATGGAGAGAGGTGGGGAAGCGAGACGCGCTCGCCCGACTGGCACAGGCAACATGGAGAAAGCCGGGGAGGCGGATACGGCTCGCAGCTTCGGCAACAGAGCAGGGATGAGGGGCGCGGCGGAGGGTATCACTCACCTGATCGGTACTGGCAGCATGACGGAAGACGTACCAGTGAGGGAGGACGGGATCAACGCAACAGCAGAGAGGAAGGCAGCGGGCTGATGCACAGCCTAGAATGGGCTAGAGAGGCGAGGGAAGGAATACTGCGGGCGAGAGAGAGAGGAGCATCAGGGAGATCAGCAGGAGGGCCGAGCGAGGCGTGGGGAGAAGGCAAGGGAAGCACGGTAATGGCCACGAGAGTGGAAGTGCCAGCACGCTTCTCAGGAGATCAGCGCACGGGCCCCACGCTGAAGAATTACCTGATGCAGGTGGGCAACGTGCGGTACAGATGCAAAAGGAGCGGCATGGACTCGGTGGACTTTTTCCTGAGTCTGCCAAACACATTGGAAGGGGAGGCGGAGACATTGTACAGGATGAAGATGGATGAGCTACTGGAAAGGGCAGGAAGGTACGGGGAAGACCCTACTGAAGCATTCCTGAGGCGGCTGAAACGGCAGTTTCCAGGTCACACCGCAGAGAAGATCAGGGAATTCCAAGATTTCAGGAAGGGGCGGGGCGAGTCACTACTCACCTACTATAACCGGCTGGTCAACCTGGCAGAGGATGTGACTTGCGCAGACATGGCCCTGCTCGTGAGTAAATTCCTGGATGGGCTGGAGGGCACTTTGGGAAGCGGACTGCGGATGAAGGTGTATGAGATGGGGGCCGACACAACGCTTGAAGAGGTGTTTGAACTGGCAGAGAAGATGGAGCTGGCGCAGAGGAGATATGAAGCATACAGGCCCAGACAGGCGGAGCGAGGCAGGGGGCCTACATGGGCTACGGCCATGATACCGGAGGAGAAGGACAGGGCAGCGGGAAGAGGGGAGACCAGGCCTGACACACGAACATGCCACAGATGTGGGCAGCCAGGACACTTGCGCCGAGACTGCAAGAACTGTGACTCCTGTGGCAAGCCAGGGCATCGGCGGCGGGAATGTCCAACGGCACCGAAGTGTGAAGTCTGTGGGAAAGGAGGGCATGCAGCAAAGGAGTGTTATCAGCGAGAGGGAGCAGCGAAGAAGTCACCAGAAGATCTGGAGAAGCAAATCAGCAGGCTGCAGGCCCAGCTGCAGGCAATGGGACCACGACGGGAAGCAGAGGCGGGGATGTACGCCAAGGAAGAGGAGGAAGAAGATGTGGAGCAGGATGAGGAAGCCGCGTTCATGGTCTGGGCGGGAAGAGGAGAGAATGAGATGGAGCATGAGGAGCAACCAGCATACATGGCATGGCGAGGAAGGGAGGAGATGGGGTTGCGCAGCAGAGGAAAGGATGCACGGAAGGAGCAGCTGAGAAAGGAGCGGGAGAGAGGACAGAAGCCGGAGGAAAAGGAGGAGAGATGCACAGCAGCACGGCACCCCCAGGAGAGGTTGGCTTGCCAGACTTCCGTGCTGCTGATCCAAGGTGGTGCGCTGTCAGTGGAAGGGGAGAAGGCTAAGACGGCTATTATAGACACTGGAGCGCAGAGCGTGATACTCGGAAAGGGGATGGCCGAGAAGCTGGGACTGTGGGCACCTGACAGGCATGTGGTGAAGGGGATGCTAGTGATGACAGCAGAGGGGGGAGAGTCGAAGTGGATGCCTTGTACGAGGACTCCAATAGAACTGACGGTGCTGAAGGGGGAGAAGCATGAGACGCCGGTTAGAATCAGGTGCGGGATCTCAGAGTCAGAAGATTTTGACGTCCTGGTGGGCACAGAGATGATCTTTGCATTGGGCATGACCATCTGCTTCTGGAAGGAGACAGTGGAGTTCAGAACCAGGTGGTGGAGGAAGGGTGAGCCACTGGGGCAGCTGCCGGTGCAGTTTGTCAGGACCGAGCCAAAAAGGGCCTACAGGGCAGATCTGAAGGAGGTGACAGCGAAGCAGGGGGCACAGAAGGCCGCAACAGGCAAGGGACAAGGTGGGGAGCCCAGGATGCGTTTCATGGACGAACCTAGCCAGCAGACCGATTGGCAGCAACCCATTCGGCTGGTGGAGCTGTTCGGAGGAATCGGGGCGGGACTGGCAGCAGTGGTGCGAAATGGAATTGCAGTAAAGCAGTGGATTTACGTGGAGAAAGCACCAGAAGTGAGGAAAATAGCGGAGCATCAGGCGTGGGAGTTGCACAGAGAGTTCCCGGAGCTGCTGCAGGGAGAGGTGATCAAGGCAGCAATGAGCAGAGGAGTGAACGATATAAGGGCCATTACGGAAGCTGAGGTAGCAAGCTGGGGGCACGTGGACCTGTTGGTGGCAGGGTGGGAATGCCAAGGGGTATCATGGGCAGGGAAGGGCAAGGGTGAGCAAGACCTACGAACACAACTGATGGAGGATCTGTTCAGAGTCATGGAGTGGGTGCAGGCGAGGCAAGGCAGAGTGGCTTACCTGCTGGAGCACTTGGATATGGAGGGAGACGTGAGAGAACCGATAAGACTAGTAAGGGAGAGAGTGACCAGACAGGTGGGGAAAGGAGTGAGCAGTGATGCGGCGCGGATGGGAGCATATACGCACAGGCTCAGGATGTACTGGCAGAATGTGGTACCAGTAGAAGACCTGCAGAAGGAAATAGAAGGGGTGCAGAGAGCTGGGGGACGGAAGCTGAGCGACATATTGGAGCCAGGAAGAACGCCAGCACCAGTGACCAAGAAGGGCTACAGCAGGCATTATCCCTGCAACCAGGTGGGACAGGAAAGGCAGGCACTGCCTACCCTGGTGTCATATGAGGGGGCAGCAGGCTATCAGATGGATGGGAAGCAGCCAGGCCCAGGATTGGTGCATGACCACAGGAAGGGACAGTGGGAAGAGCCCACGGCCTTGGAGAGGGAGCTGGCCATGGGATACAAGGAGAACGCTACAGCAGCCCCAGGCGTGAGCGAGAAGGAACGGAGACGGGCATTGGGGAATGCCATGGATGGGTACATGATGAGGTGGTTGGTGCAGCGGATGTGGAAGGAGACAATGCTGCACTGGGGATTGAAGGAGGGAGAAAACACAGTGGCGACGGTGAGGCAAGGGGTGTGGGCCTGCCTGCAGAAAGAGGAGCCAGAGTGGAAGATAGGTGAGAGCATGAGCGAAGAAGGGAAGGCAGCAATGCGGGCACTGCTGGCAAGGCATCGGAAGGGCTTCGCCTTCACACTGCTGGAGTTGGGGAAGTGCAAGATCAAAGAGATGGCGCTGAAATTGAGTAGTGATGAGCCGGTGTTCCACCGCAGGAGGAAGATGCCACCAGGGGATGAAGTGATCTGCAGGGAGAAGATAAAGGAGTTACTGGAAGCCGGACTTATCAGGAGGTCAGAATCAGAATACGCTACCCCAACCGTGGTGGCAGCCAGGAAGGACTTGACAGGCGAGGTGCTGAGTAGGAGGATGTGCGGGGACTACAGGGATCTCAACAAAATTACAGTGCCAGATAGATACCCAATGCCGATGGCGGAAGAGCTCTTTGACAAGCTGGCTGACGGAGTGTTCTTCACGACGCTGGACCTGCGACAGGGGTTCAATCAAATCAAGATCAGAGAGGAGGATGTGAAGAAAACGGCTTTCCACGGACCGGATGGGCTGTACGAGTGGCTTTACATGCCCTTCGGTCTGAGGAACGCCTCGGCGGTGTTTCAGAGAGTCATGGACGCGGTGCTGCGGGGAATAGAACATGCGGCGTGCTATATTGATGATGTCGTGATCTTCAGCTTGACCGAACAGCAGCACCTGGAGGACGTGGAGAGGACATTGACCGCCATAGAAGGGGCAGGGCTCACCTGCCATCCCAACAAGTGCAGGTGGGGGGAGCGGACAGTGCAGTATCTTGGGTATGAGGTCACAGGGGGGCAGATTGGTATCCAGCAAGCGAAGGTGCAAGTGCTGGACAGGCTGAGGGAACCAAGAGACAAGTCAGGGCTGCGTGCGGTCTTGGGCTTCCTCAGCTACTACAGGCGCTTCATGCCGAACTTCAGCAAACGAGCGACAGTACTAAATGGGATGCTGCGGGAGGACAAGGCATGGGAGTGGGGAGAGGAGCAGAGACAGGCACTGCAAGACCTCATGACAGCCGTGAAGACATCGACAGTGCTGCGGCTGCCAGCAGCAGACCAGCCCTTCATCCTCTACACAGACTGGAGCAGCCAAGGGATGGGAGCAATATTATGCCAGGAGGTGGAGGGAGTGGAGAAGGTGGTGGCCTACGCCAGCAGGAGCTGCAACCCGGCGGAAGCACAATATAGCTCATACATTGGGGAAGGGCTGGCGGCAGTGTGGGCGGTCGGGCATTTCCGGATATACCTGCAGGGCCGAGAATTCACCCTAGTCACTGACCATCAGCCACTCACCTGGCTGATGACTACACCAGGGCTGACAGGCAGGAACGCGCGGTGGGCAGTGAAGCTGCAGGAGTATGATTTCAAGATCAGGCACAGGCCGGGGAAGACGCTGCAGCACGTTGACGGCCTCTCCCGCAATCCACCGCCGCTGGAAACGAAACAGGCCACCCTGGGGACGGAAGAGACAGAGCAAGAGCCGGCACGGACCTTGATCTTACTGGCAAGAGAGGTGGAGCAGACGCGGGCGAAGGGGAGTAAGGGGCCAGCCGACATCTGGTTGGATGCAAAGGCAATGCAATGGGTGAAGGGAGAAACCGAGGAGGATGAAACGGTGCCTGAGAGAGTAAGGGCACGAGGGCACCACTACAGGTGGTATCAGCAGCAGCTGCAGATCAAGACGGAGGATGGGTGGAAGCTGGTGCCAGCGCCCGAGGACCGTGAAGCAGTGATCAAGGAAGTGCACACTAAGCTGGGGCACTTCGGGCACGAGAGGACCGTACACCTGCTGAAGACGGGCTGGTGGTGGGAAGGGATGCGCAGGCAAGTAAAAGAGTGGGTGGAGGGGTGCGAGGCGTGTCAGAGGAGCAAAGCAAACCTGACGCAGGCCAAAGCAGAGCTGCACTCACTGCCAATCTGCAGACTAGGGTTCCGTTGGTCCCTGGACCTCGCGGGAGAGCTGCCACTGAGTCGGAGCGGGAATCAGTACATCGTGTTCATGGTGGAACATGTGAGCAAGTGGCTGGAGGTGCGAGCTATCCCTAGCAAGAGCGCG